CCAGCTGGTCCAGAATGCAGCAGCGCGGGTAGTGATGGGAGCAACATGGCGCTCCCATGTAACACCGCTCCTGCGCGAGCTGCACTGGCTCCCGGTGGTCTTCCGGGTGCGCTTCAAGGTGTTGGTTATCACCTTTAAAGCGCTCCATGGCATAGGGCCTAGCTATCTCCGAGACCGCCTGCTGCTACCGATGACCTCCCATCGACCCGTGCGCTCCCACAGAGAGGGCATCCTCAGGGTGCCATCAGCCAAACAATGTAGGTTGGTGGCCCCCAGGGGGAGGGCCTTCTCTGTGGGGGCTCCCACCCTCTGGAATCAGTTGCCCCCGGAGATAAGAAGAATCCAGGACCTCAATGCCTTCCGTCGTTCCCTGAAAACCTATCTTTTTCAGCAAGCCGGGTTGGCTTAAGAAGAAATTTTTAAAATTTTTAAATTCTTTTAATTAGTCTGTGATTCTTAACTTTCGGGCCAAAATTTATATATATTTTTAAATGTTTTAATATTTGTATTCTATGTTTTTTATCTTGGCTGTACACCGCCCTGAGTCCTCAGGGAGAAGGGCAGTATATAAATTGGAAATTAAATTAAATTAAATTAAATATGATGGGCACAGCACATACTTGTAGAAAGTTGTTTTCTGGTTCTGTACTTCAAACTAAATATTTCATTTAGTTTGATTATAGGAGTTTGCTTGACCTCACGAGGACTGTGTATTTCTCTGAACCTCTTGTGTTAGTATGAAGATGGTTTCTGGACTACCAATGTTTACTGGAACTTATATAATCATAAATGACATTTAAATTTTCTATTATTCATTATAAAACCCCTTGTAATGTTTCCATATTAACAAGATAGAAAACATCATGTTTGCTTAATGTGGTTGACTATAAAGCATATGGGCTTCTATAGCAAGAAAGCTTTTCATAAAAATTATATTTATCATCCTATCATATAAACCAGGGGTGTCAAACTCAATTTCATTGAGGGCTGCATCAGGGTTCTGTTTGACCTCGGAGGGCTGGGTGTGTGTGGCTGGGGGTGGCCGTGGCCATGGTGGGCGTTTGATACAGGCTCAAGATGCATTTTTTTCCCTTCTTTCTTTCTTTCCCCTACCATGTTGTTTAATAATAAATTGCTTTTCCAGGCAGAAAAGCTATTTATACTATTGTATTTTTATTATTCAACTAATAGTAATATAATAGCATAAATAACATGATCATACAAGATCTAACAGCAGAGGTAAATTTCCAGGATAGTAAATAAAAATGGCTGTCAATTATAGATAGTTGATTGTAGATTAAATGTACGTAAAATCTGGTATAAAACTGTAGTATTAACATAGGATGTTGCCTGTTTTCTATCCAGATCAGGCACTTACTTGAGGCCACATAATTGTAATCCAGTCCTCCTGCAGCACTCTGCTGGCCAAAAACAGACTATGGCCTCCGCGCGGCCCATTTTTGGCCTCCCTGGCCTCCAGCAACATTCTGACAGCCAAAACAGGCTGCGGGGAGGTCCCACATGCCCGCTGGGGGGCCCTTTTTGATAGGCAGAGGCATTGCAGGCCACTACTTTGATATTTCCAGTCCAGCCCCGTGGGCCAGTTTCAAGCATCCTTTGAGTTTGACACTCCTGATATAAACTGTTTTCTTGTCATATCTGCCATATGTGAAGTGAATGGTATTGAAATCTCTATTTCCCCTTTCCTCATAGAGCATAGCTTGTTTCAGGTGGTAATGTATTTTGTAAATGCATACAACTTTTGCATTTTAAAAAAATGTATCGGGTTCTCTTTATTTCATGAAATTTGGTTGGTTGATTTTAGATGTGGTCAAAAAATATACCTTGCCTTTTGAACCCAAGCTGAAAAGTTCTTCTGAACTGTTCTAAATTGGCTATAGTTCCCAGGAACATTTCTGTTCTGAATGTTATGCAAACCAGGATGGCAAAGTGATACTGTTGTTTCTTTGAGATGAAACTGATGCATATCATCCCCGCCCACCTCCAGTGGTGGGCTGCTGCTGGTTCAGACCAGTTCGGGTGAACCGATAGTTGGGAACTGTGGGTGGGCAGTACTATGTTGCCCTATTTAGCTGTGTTTTTAAGGCGCACGCATGCATGCAAGCCGTGCACACGAGCAAAGCACATGCGCTGAAGGCTGCATGCATGCACAGAAAGCGTATGAGCGAAGCAAACGTGCATGTGCACGCTCACATTTTCAGTACTGGGTGAACCGATTGTTAATTCATGTGCTGCCCATTTCCCAGGGATACGTGGGACCATCATTAACTGCTGCAGATACCTGTGCACCAGTTTCTCAGTGGTCTCACTACTTTTATTGCAGAATGTCCACTTCTACCCTAATCTCTGAGGGCCTTCTCTTTATTCCCTCAGCCTCTTCCATTATTATCAGGGAAAGCTTTAAACAATTTTTTTCTTACTTTTCTCTCCCCAAATTTTTTCATCCAAAATAACTGTATTGTGGTCTACATTTGGAACAAAACTGATCTGATTTGTATCTATCTACACTAAACATACCGTATTTCCCCGAAAATAATACAGGGTCTTATTTTCTTTTGGGCTTCAAAAAAAGCACTTGGCTTATTTTCAGAGAGATCTTACTTTTTAAAGTGCTACCGCTGGCCCTGCTCTCTCTGTCATGCTATCTGCTCCCCAGAAGCAGCAATGGAAGGGAAAGGGAGGGGGGTGGGGAGATGGGAAAGAAGTGATCCCAGAAGCAGCAGTGGAAAGGAAAGAGACTGGGGGGGGGAGAGAGACTGGAAAGAAGCAATCCCAGAAGCAGCAGTGGAAAGGAAAGAGACGGGGGGGAGAGAGACGGGAAAGAAGTGATCCCAGAAGCAGCAGTGGAAAGGAAAGAGACTGGGGGGGGTGGGGAGATGGGAAAGAAGCGATCCCAGAAGCAGCAGTGGAAAGGAAAGAGACTGGGGGGGGGAGGGAAAGAAGCGATCCTAGAAGCAGCAATGGAAGGCATGCAGGCTTGCACTCAGCAGCCTAAAGGCGGCGGTGGGCGAGGCAACACAGGCAGCCACTCCCAAAGGGGCCCTGGCAGTCTGGTGGCACTCAGAATGTTTTTTGGAGGTTTTCAATCTGGGATGATTCAAGCCTGCCAGGCAGGAGCAGTCCCGCAGCACTGCTGAGTGCAGCGCTGCCAGGAGGGCGAAGAAGCCAGCAGCAGCATGGGCAGCTGCTTGGCCGTTTAAAGACTTGTGGATTTCAACTCCCAGAACTTCCCACAGCCCCCCTCCCATCAGCTCCTTCCCCTTTCTGGGTTGGGGTAGCTCGCACCCATCGGGTCCGTTGGGATTGTAAGTTTGATCACACCCCACGAGGGAACCTCCATCAGTTGAGCCAGCACAGGCCGGGAGCTGCCTTTCATTCTGTCTCTCTGCAGAGGCCTCCCAGTGCAATGCTCTGCCACAGCTTCAGAGCAAACCTCTGCCTTTCCTGTGCAGGATTGCAAGGCTGGAAGCTTCGCCTTGCTCCGATTAGCAGGAAAATGCCCCCCCCCCATTTTCCTGCCAATCGTTCTATCCTTGGGGAACTCTGCACAGACACACATCCCAAAAATGCTCCCTCCTAAGCCTTCAACCTTGCAATCCTGCGCAGGGAAGGCGGAGGTTTGCTCCGAAGCTGTGGCAGAGCATTGTACTGGGAGGCCTCCACAGAGAGACAGAATGGGAGACAGCTCCCGGCCCGTGCTGGCTTAGCTGATCTGCGGGCCGCAATTATTTTATTTATTTATTTATTTATTTATTTATTTATTTATTTATTTATTTATTTATTTATTTATTTATTTTTGCGATTTATATGCCGCCATTCTCCCGAATGACTCAGGGCGGCTTACAACAACAATCAATAATACAAATCACAAAATAACAAAATAAGTTTAAAAACCCTTAAAACCATATTTAAAATTATTACAGTTTGTGCAACCCCTAGCAGATCAAGTTATTTGACGGAAGAGCCACGTCTTCAGTTCGCGGCGAAAGGAGAGGAGATCCAGGGCTATCCTGAGCTCGGTGGGCAAATCATTCCAGAGGGTCGGTGCTCCGACAGAGAATGCTCTCCCCCTGGGGGCCACCGGTTGACACTGTTTGGCCGACGGCACCCTGAGGAGGCCTGCTCTGTGGGAGCGCACGGGACGGTGGGAGGAAGGCAGAAGATGGTCCTGCAAGTACCCTGGGCCTAAGCCATGTAGGGCTTTATAGGTAAGCACCAGCACCTTGAAACGGACCCGGAGAACAACCGGCAGCCAGTGCAGGTCACGCAGGAGAGGTGTTGCACGGGAGTAACGAGGAACTCCGGTAACTACCTGCACGGCCGCATTCTGGACCAGCTGGAGTCTCCGGATGCATCCCAAGGGCAGCCCTATGTAGAGGGCGTTGCAGTAATCCAACCGAGAAGTAACAAGGGCGTGGGTGACCGTGGCGAGGGCATCTCGGTCTAGGAAAGGGCGCAACTGGCACACAAGACGTACTTGTGCGAAGGCCCCCCTGGTTACGGCCGTCAGATGGTCATCCATGGACAATTAAAGTGCTGAGCTTCCATAAGGTGACTAGGGAAGGAAAGGGCTGTCTCCTGGGCTGCCTATGGCCACCCTTTCACTAGGACTTATTTTCAGGGGAGGGCGTATATTTACGCCCCCCCCCAAAAAAATTCAGGCTTGGCCTTATTTTTAGGACATGTCCTAAACACAGTAACACATGGGGAAACACAATATATTTCTGGCTAGCGTTTTAAGCATGGAATGCCTTGCATGCATAGGTAGTCCTCATATTAGGACAGCAATTGGGTCCGGAATTACTATCACTAAGCCAAAAACTATTTGATTGAACGTTTTAGCTTCAGATTCAAAGGCCATACCTTTGTAACACATGCATTGTCGTTAAGCTTTCCTAAATTCATCTGTGTCTATAATAGGGCCCCTGAGTTTTCTGATTGTGATGCAGTGTTCTGGCACTCTTTATTTTCACTTTTAGGGTGCAGTGCCCAAAGGTAATGCCACAAAAGAATTCATAGAGAGCTTACAGCTGAAGCCAGGACAAGTAGTTTATAAGTGTCCGAAATGCTGTAGTATCAAACCGGACAGAGCACATCACTGCAGGTAATTATAATACATCATCATCATGGTCTATTTATGTTACTATTGTACTTAAATAGAGGCATCAGAATCACTCATTTATTAGTATGATTTTAGCACGTTTCTACATTTTGATTTATTTTAATTATGTTACAAAACTCAGTATAATTCAGAACTGAATTTTGTAACATCTTCAAACTTTCTGCTTAAAAAAACAGGTTTGAACACCTATTAATCTGTAATATGTTAATTTATTCACTTTGGGTTATGAGGTAGTTTAGAATGGTTTCCACTGGCAGATCTACACGTCCAGAAAAATACTTCCCTGGTATGTGTTTGCTCATGCGTGCGTGCGTACACACACACACAGAGCAGTATTTTTCTGGATGTGTGGATATAGATATATCTAACCCCCTTCCTCTGAAGACATCTGTAGGCCTAGCATTCTATCCAAGCCCTCCTAGTCTTCTGGTAGCAGGAGAATCGCAACAACATATGGACACCTGCAAGGGAAGACCTTTTTCCATTGTTCTATGATGTACAAACCAGTCCCATCAGGTGGACTGAAGGATTAAAATCGTTATGCACACAGCACGGCACCAATGCACACAAGCTTAATGCATGTAGTCAGTGAAAAAAATCAGTCTGCTAATTGCCATGGAGTTTATTGTGAATTGAACTTCAAAAATGCTGAAAATTCTCAAACTCTCCCACTCTCCTGTTCCTAGCATTTAAATTACATTTAATAACTGAAAACTAAGTAAAATAACTGAAATAAAAACTAGAGCCTCTAAACCAATTAGAGATTTACAGCAAAGTTTGCCACTTATTCATAATGCTCCAAATCTAATATTTACTTCTGCTTTGAATGACAGTGTGAATCTAAAAGTGTGTGAGAAGGCATTGCAGGATTTGACAAAGTGAAAATATTTATTCCACAGTTTGATATCTATAGAAGACCAATTTTTCAATGTAGAGGGGATTATATTTTAATTGTGATGTTTTTATTTCCTTTTAGTGTTTGCAAGAGATGTATACGGAAAATGGATCACCACTGCCCATGGGTTAATAACTGTGTAGGAGAGAACAACCAGAAATACTTTGTACTGTTTACAGTAAGTAATTCACTGAGTGAGTGATCTGTGTAACTATTGAAATTGGCCCTGGAACTTCAAGTAGACCTTGCTCAATTTTTTTTACACTTCCTCCAAAACTAATCAGAAGGAGACACTTGTGAGAAACGTAGCTACTTGTTGAAGCAGCAAGATGCTTGAAGCAAGTTATAAAATATAGTCAGCCAGCAAAATATGATTTCCCAAAGTGTATTACTAGACTTATATCATAAGCTGTAATTCTAGCCATTTCATTTGCTTAATATTCTATCATATTCCATCACCAAAGTAGTCTGATTCCCTGTTTAATATGGGGGGGGGGAGAAAGAGAGAGAGAATCAGAATGAGAGAGAGAGAGAATGAGAATGAGGACAAAGTTTTATTTTACCCTGCTGCGTGCACAAGAAGTGGTGAGCACGGGGTTGGGCTGACAGTATCCGGCAGCAGCTGCAGCCCGCCGGCCCCTTTGTTGGCACAGTCTGGAGCTGTGCAACCTGCACAGCGCAGATGAGATGATCACTTGTCAAAGCAGTAGATGGAGGCAGGGCAAGGCATTCTATCTGGTTTTGCCATGCGGGAAAGCTGAGAGTCGGTGGGCCGGAGTGGCTGCCCGGCTAAGGGAGGCTTGTTTTCATGCGGCTGCACCGGCAGTTGACAGAGGTAGAGGTGCAGGGCGGAAGGCAGGCGATCTGGATGTGCTGCATGGGCTGCAGTAAAGCTGAGAGTTGGTGGGCCGGAGCAGGTGGCCAGCTGCAGGAAGCATCTTTGCGTGGCGGCACCAGCAGCAGACAGAGGCAGAGGCACAGGGGGAAGGCAGGTGATTCTGCTGCATTGTGAGGGCCACAGGCAAGCCGAGAGACATGAAGATGAGCTTCCTGCGGCTAGCCACCCACTCCATCCCACTATCTCTCTGCTTGCCTATGGTCTGTGTGGCGCGTCAGGATCACCTACCTTCCCCCCGCACCTCTACCTCCATCTGCTACCAGTGCCACTGCGTGAAGGGGAGTCTCCCGTGATTGACTGACCGTTCTGACCCACAAGGCTTTTCTGCAGCCCATCTGGATCATGTACCTTCCCCCTGTCTCTGCCTCCTTTGCTGCTTGGACAGGTAATCAATGTACCTGTCCTCCGCAGGCTGCGGCTGCTGCCTGAAACTGTCAGCCCTCGCGCCGTCGCCGCCTCCGGTGCTGCCCCCAAGGCTTATTTTTGGAGTAAGGCTTATATTACAGCATGCTAAAAATCAGGCTAGGGCTTATTTTCTGGTTAGGCCTTATTTTGGGGAAAACACGGTACAAATACAGTACATACAGTGCATTCAGAGAGTATTCAGACTCCATTCACTTTTGTCAATTTTGTTATGATGCAGCCTGATTCTACAGTTACTGAAATTCATTTTTTTCTTATTAATCTACACTCAATGCCCCATAATGAAAAAGTGAATAGAGGATTTTTTTTTTAATTGAAAAAGTTTTCAAATACAGATTTTTCCCCCTTTTTCCCCCCTCCTCCCTCCCCCCTATACTACACATTTCAAAGCAACTTTCAGCTATACAATTATATAATAAATCCTAATTTGGCATTTATTCAACTCATAATCTACCCATTTCCTCCACCCCCATACATATATCTCTTAATTCAAATCTTTTACGTATGTTAATATCTGAACATAACATCCCTTTTCCTAAACTAAACAATCAGTAACCTAACCTATCTCCACCCACTTTCCTAATATCTTCTGTTCTTCTTGAAGAGGATTTTAGAATTGTCTGTAAATTTATTAAAAAGAAAAAACTGAAATATCACATTGGCATTCAGACCCTTTGCAACAACACATGAAATTTATTTCTGGTGCCTCACATTTCTTTTGATCATTGCTGACATGTTTCTACACTTTGATTGGAATCAACCTGTGGTAAATTAAATTGATTGGGCATAATTTGGAAAGATATACACCTCTCTATAGAAGGCCTCACAGCTGAGAATGCATACTATAGCAGAGCAAAAGCCATGAGGACAAAAGAACTGCCCTGCAGAGCTCAGAGATAGGTTTATTGCAAGGCACAGATCTGGGGAAAGCTACAATAAAATTTCTGCTACACTCCTAAGAGCACAGTGGCCTTCACAATTCTGAAATGGAATAAGTTTGGCACAACCAGAACACATCCAGGCTGGTTGCCTTGTCAAACTGAATAATTGGGAGATGGCTTTAAAAGTGCTTTAGAGGGAGAGGTGACCAAAAACCCAATGGTCACTGACTGAGCTCCAGAGAGATTTTATAGATATGGGACAGAGTTCCAGAAGGACAACCATCACTGCAGCCTTCCACCGATCTGGGCTTTGTGGCTAAATGGAAGCTTCTCTTCAGTGCAAAACATATGGGAGCCTGATTGGAGTTTGCAAAAAGGCACCTAAAGGACCCTCAGACTGTGAGGAACAAGATTCTCTAGTCTAATGAAACAAGGATAATGATGATTTAAAGCGACCAGCTCTTTAAGACTGAAGATGAGTCAGCAGGGTTAGTGCCCTTTAAGAAGCTGCATATATAAAGAAGGCCATTAGAGGGCATCTCTCTCTCTCCTTGTGTATCTGCATTGAAAAACCCCTGCGTACTGTATTTTTCTCCTGGATTGTCTCAAACTAGCAATCACACTGTGCACACACTGACAGAACTGTTGGCCTCAATTCTAAATATTATGTCTGGAGAAAACCAGGCACCACTCATCACCTGTCCAAGATCATCCCAACAGTGAAACGTGATGGCAGCATCATGCTGATGTGTGGATATTTTTCAGCAGCAGAGATTAGGAGACTGGTCAGGGTTGAGGGAAAGTTGAATGGAGCAAAGTACAGGGATATCCTCAATGAAAACCTGTTCCACAGGGCTCAGATTGGGCCAAAGGTTCACTTTCCGACATGACAATGATCCTAAGCATATAGCCAAGACAACACAGGAGTGGCTTAGGGACAACCAGGGGTGGTATTCACTTGCCTTCGCTACCGTTTTGAAAATGGGAGTGCGAGCGCGCTTAATCCGCTTGCACACACCACCTCTGCGCAGGCGCAGGGCCTTCCGCACAGGTGCAGAGCATCAAAAACATGGATAAATGGGATGTGATTACGTCAGGCCAGGTGGGCAGAGCCTCCCGCAGCCGCCGCTACCGGTTTGCTAGAACTGGCTGAATACCACCATTGGGGACATCTCTGTGAATGTCCTAAACAGAGCCCTCACTTTTAAACACTATTGACCCTATGTCTCTGGAGGGACCTGAAAATGGCTATCCATCAATGGTCACTGTCCAGTCTGACTAAACTTGAGAATATTGAGAGCTTGGGAGAATTTGCAAGGAAGAATGGCAGAAAATCCCCCAATCCAAGTGTACAAAGCTTGTCGCACAATACTCCAAAAGAAATGAGGCTATAATTGCTGCCAAAGATGCTTCAACTAAGTATTGAGTAAAGGGTCTAAATACTTATGTCAATGTGATATTTCAGTTTTTTCTTTTTAATAAATTTACAGACAACTTTAAAATTCTGTTTTCACTTTGTCATTATGGGATACTGGATATAGATTAATGAGAAAAAAATGAATTTCACCAACTATATAATCAGGCTGCATCATAAGAAAACTGACAAAAGTGAATGGGATCTGAATGCTCTCTGAATGCAATGTATATCTTATGCTTCAAACATAAATAGTTCAAAAGATACGAGCTTGCTGTCATTTGATTACCAGTAAATATAGAGGGACTATGTTGTTTCAAGATTTTTAGGGAAAAGGTTTATGAAATCATTGTTCTTTGTGTGTATCATAAAAAAAAATCTGTGCTATATTTTGTACATATTTTACACATTCATATTCAATGTTAAAATCTGTCTTTCTTAACATTCCAAATTCTATTTCAGATGTATATAGCACTAATTTCTCTGCATGCTCTAATCATGGTTGGATTTCACTTCCTATATTGTTTGGAAGAAGACTGGACAAGTGAGTATTGGCAATGTAATATTTTGAATGTAAAACATCCCAATTGTATAAATCTCACAAAAGAGATTTGAATGGGTGATTACATATTTCCCAATAATATGTTTGTCCATAATTTTATAACATTGTATTTAGCTTTCTTTCTCTCCCCTCCCCATGAGGAAAAAAATGCATATCTCCTTTAAAGAAAATCAGCTATAAAATTACTTGACTTAGGCTGATCAGAAGTACCATACTGTGGTCCTTCTGTTTTCATCATGAACATGGTAAGAACTCAGGAAATGGTCTCTATTAATAATTCTCCCTGAACTTTCCTTAGAAAAAGTAGGCGCATAATGCTTTCAATGCCCCTGCTGCATCATTACTTTGTATGTCTGCAGGGAACACTGTTGACCCCTGTTGTGAGATAAGAAAGCTGTGGGGCAGGATGGAAATTGTGTGCAAATAGAAATGAAGTGCAATATTGGAACAAAACCCGTAGAGAATCATGCTTTTTCTGGCCAGAGGTGAAGGGGAAGGTGTACTCCAGAACAGCTGTCACCAACTGGTGGTCCATGGACCACTGGTGGTCCGTGAGAAAATTTTGGTGGTCCGCAGAAAAATTATTTTCATTTTTTATATTGCACAAAATCAGCCCCTAGGCTGGATACATGCAATGAATGTTTGTGTTGCTGCAGAAAGTCTCCCCCTCCAGGATCTTTTTGTGCGGGTCGGAAGGGGGTAGAAATTCCGACTTGGGGTCTGCTTCAGCCTCCTGGTATGGGATTTTGGGCAAAGGCTGGAGGTAAGCACCGCTAGTGGCAGAGAGCCAGAGTGCCTTGTTCCAGTGAGACTGCCTCATGGCCTGAAACTGGCTGACCATCTCAGCCCGCTGAACTCCAGGCACTGGAGGCTTGCACTCCTGCAGGTCTTCCCTCTGCTTGGAAAGCCTATGCTCATAGTCCTCAGTAAGATGCTTCTGCTGAGCCTCCTTCTTGGTCAGATCCAATTTGAACTGAGACAGCTGTTTTGACAACTCTTTCTCAACAACTGCTTCCTGTTGGGCCCTAAGGAGCCCGGGCGGGCAGGCAAGGAGTGGCTGAGAGGGGAATAGAGGCCGGTGAGGCGCCCCTCAATGCAAGTGATATCGAGTTGGTCATGCCCACCCAGTCACATGCCCACCTAGCCATGCCCACGCCCACTCAGCCAGTCATTAGGCACATCATATTAATGGTCCACGGGATTTTAAATTATGAATTTAGTGATCCCTGAGGTCCGAAGGGTTGGTGACCCCTGATCCAGAACATCCTCAAAAGCAGTATGGGGACCTGGGGTTTACTGATGGCCTTATGAATCTGTACACCATTTTTCTAAGCAATAGGCCTTGAAGAATTATGTAACTATTGTGAAATAAGATATGTTTGTGTATTGTATGATAGCTGAAAATGGTCAGTGGAAGTAAAAATTAATAAATAAAAACAAAGACAATATTCACCTTTAAATTAGGACATGAAAATTCTGCATATCAAAGTCGAAAAATGTTTGTGGGCCAAAAGTGAATTCATGTCTCATAATTAAAATTGTAAGAAACAATACTATGTAGAAAATACCCTGGAATCTCTTGTTTGCATAATCGTTATGAATGCAAATCACAACAGACAGAAAAATCTAGAAAAAGAAATTAAGGAAGATTTTTATTTGGTTTCTATTTCTATTCCTTGTTTCCAACTGCCTTATTTTACTTCCAGCATCTTTGCCATTTCATTCTGAAACTTAATCTCATGTCAATGTGAAATAAGGTGTGATTAAGAGCTTCGTTTTTTATTTGATGACATTAAACTATATTGGAAAGGAGAACATCTAATAATTATTTTTATAAGAAAAAATGCATAAAAGATCAAAAACAGATTGGATTGAGATTAGGGAGGTGAAGAAGGAACCTGCCTGCAGTTACAGCATAATTTATAATTACAAGACATCCTCGACTGATGACTACAACTCAGCCCAAAATTTCTGTTGTTAAGCAAGACATTTTGCCCCATTTTAAGACCTTTCTTGCTGCAGTTGTGAATCACTGCAATTGTTACGCTAGTAATATGATTGTTAAGTGAATCAGGTTTCCCCATTGACTTTGCTTATCAAAAGGTTACAAATGCTAATCACATGACCAAGGGACAATACAACAATGAGAAATAGGAACCAGTTGCCAAGCTTCCAAATTTTGATGATGTGACCATGGGGATGCTGCAATAGTTGTGTGAAAAACAGTTGTAAATCACTATTTTTAGTGCCATTGAATGGTCACTAAATGAACTGTTATATATTGAAGAGTACCTGTATTTATTCCTGCTACATTTTAAAGTTTGTCTGTATGACCCCTGGCTTTCAGAATTCTATAACTTTAATTTCCAGATGTTGGAATTCGATGGTTTATAAATAATTATGAATAATTAAATCTCATTTATAATTGAATAAACTTGGGAACTACTCAATATAATACAAAAGCAGCATTATCATTAGTTCTGTTGCTAGACTATGAAATGCTTTTTCATATCATATTTTCAGAGTGCAGTTCTTTCTCTCCACCAACTACTGTGATCCTTCTGATCCTCTTGTGTTTTGAGGCTCTCCTTTTTCTGATTTTCACATCTGTAATGTTTGGAACACAGGTACATTCCATCTGCACTGATGAAACAGTGAGTACTTCCTGTCTCTTTATTATTTTGTTTCTTTTTTAAAAGAATCACTTGGCGTGAGATTTCATTGTCTTTGTCCAAAAAAGAATATGAGGGTGCCAAACTACAGTAGAAAATATATTTTATAAATAGCAATTGGATTTCCTGAAATAAAAATATTAGCAAAATTTTTCCTAATGTGATGCTCTCCAGGCATTTAATTAATTTAGAGGTGGGAACGTTGTTTGGAAAGTTTGGTATAGGACAAATGTGGATATAAAATGTGGATATTCATTGCTGATAACTTTCTACAATTTCATTTTTTACTGTTACTGTTGTTCTATTGAACAGTAACCAGGGGTGGGTTCTACTTACCTTTACTACTGGTTCATAATGGGGCCGCGCGCGCACATGCGCAGAAGCATTCTGTTGACATTGGGATCATTGGGCAGAGCCTTCCGCCGGTTTTACTACTGGTTCTATAGAACCAGTGCGAACCAGGGGCAACCCACCACTGACAGTAACATATACATTAGTGACATACAAAGATAATTTGGGCAGTATATGTTTGTACATATCTAGAGGACTTGCCACCCACCATTTCTAAACTACAGTTAAATGATTTTGCAATTAAAACAGTTGTACATTTCAACATTAATCAGTTCCACCTCTCTTTCAAAGGAAAATTGTTACCTACTATTAGTATCTGGTATTTTTAATAGCATCTGAAAGAAATCTGTGATTGCCTGGCTTAGAATGTAAGTGGATCAGGCATCTTTTAGCATCTGTTTATCAATTTTGATTAGCAATGGATGTTGTTGTTTATTTCTCTTTATTGGCTCCTACCCAATAGAAAGCGCTGTTATTTTGTGCAATGTGATCAAGTTGCCTGGCGTAACAGGTAGGAATAAAAGAGATATTTTTTTATATGAGATCCAGACAAATTGAGCCAGTGTTGTCATCTGTTTATTTTGTTTCATGAATTGAAAGAGGTTTGGAAGAAACCTACTCTCATGGAGTTATGCATACAAATTTACAATAGTTTTCACCAATAGTTTTGTGCCATGTTCTGCAGAATCCTGAAATGATATTCAAATAGTTAATCATCTTTTTTGCTATTTTTCTTACAAAGGAAATAATTAAAATTTTGTACATTGAAATGAGATCCATAGGTATCATGTTGTCTTTCACCAAAAATAAAGATGTTGAGCATCTTATAAGTGAAGAACCTCATGGAACATATTGGCACTTATTTCTGTTGCAGCTTCCTTAGAATTTTTCTGTAATAATCTTCTCTAGACCCATTTTCAAGTAACCTATATTGAAAAATGAGGAATTATATCTCTATTAGAGAAAGAGAATGAAAGATTTTAGATAATAGCCCAAAGTGAGAAATAAATTGGTAGCACTTTAAATAAGGAAGAGAAATCTCAGGGCGGGGGGGGGGAGTCCTTATTCAGTATTCAGAGTCTCTAATTAGTTATTTCATAAATATTCTTTGCCTACATTGTTCCCAGTTGTAGAAATTTAATAAGGAAGACTTCAGTTCCAAGAGTCTCAGGATGGAATATTATGTTAAAATGGAATAGAAATTATTTTGCATCAGAATCAAAATCTTTAAAAGCAATAAGTTCCATGTATTCCAGTGTTATATCTAAGGAAGACAGTCCATCATCAACCTCACTTCTGAATGGGATGAATATGGCAAAAGAAGAACAAAAGAATTCAGTATATCAATGCAGATGATACAGTTTGCAACAGTCCCTTTAAACCAATACTATAAATGTAGATGCTTATACATGCAGCCATCTTTAGGGAATAAAGTTTTGGGAATTTATTTATTTATAAATAAAAACTAGGGAATAGTTTACACTTCTACTGTTGTAACCTTTTTTTCATTTCATCTATTTTGTGAACTAAATACTTTCAATTCTTTAGCTTTTGCATAGTAAAAAATATCCCTTCACTACTTTGGTGGCTACTTTGATGTTGTTTGTTTTTCCACTGTTTTGTTTTGTTTTGTTTTGTTTATTTCTTATTTTGAGATGGGAATACTAGAATTCTGCACAAAAATTAAAATGTGACCATGCCATTGGGTTTTATATGAAGGCAGATGGCAGCATCTAATCTACCTCACTTATCTGAAAACAATTTCAACTGCTAAAATTACTCCAAAATCCCAAGGGTGGATTAGATTTCCCAGAAGGTGGCAGTGACAAACAGCTTCCACATTTTTGCCAAAATATTAGTAGATGAGCAAGTCATCATGAATTGAACACAACTCAAGGGCATCGTCATCATTTATTATGATTCCAAAAGTTTACATTGAAGTGCACTGCAAAGTAAGTTGGCCACTTATCGTTTTCCTGGTTGCATTTGAGAATCTCCTCAGTGCATACATATAAATGAATTATTTTCTTCTGTCCCTATATCACTTTGCACATGTGTTACTTGAAATGTCACTGATTTATTCATCCAATTTGGAAAGATAATTCATAAAATCGTCTGCTTTGTATTTTTGATCAAGCAGGGTAGCTGGCGCATATTATAGCCTCAGCCACCTCACTGTTTATATCCTACTCAGATATTAAAAATCAAATGAGTCTACTGTAGTTCTTTTAAGAAACAAAATTCTATTGTTCATATACCTGCTCTTTTTATTGAACCATAAAAGGACTGGTTGCCAGAGATTGGCCTGCTTTTTTTGCCCACAGGATGACTAAATCTGTTGGTTGATGGAGAAGTTGTTCAAGGCATGAACTACATGTTTATATGCTTTTAGACTAAGAAACAATTGATAGGAGTAGGATGGGAGGGTGCTAAAAATCACAGTTTTATCAAAGATCTTTTGGCACTCTCAAATTTACTATGGTTGTTTTTAGATGGAAAGACTCAGTGTGCTATATATGGCATGATATAGAAGCATCAGTAACCCTGAGAAGTATGCACTAGTATTGCAGGAAATGAAATTAGAGGCCTCTGTACCTGGTTTATCTATATTATATCAAACTGTTTCATTATTCTGCAGCCCAAGCAGAACACATCAAACTTGGTCCAAATGTCCAGTGGACTATTGCCACAATTTGAGTTTCTTTTAAAGTATAGAAGCTCAGAATATTTCTGCAGCCTTCTTTTAAGATAAATGCTATGCACAGTTATTCTGTGAAACTAAATTTAGTTTGTATTCTTCTCTCCCTTTCTTAGATTTGATCCAGTAGCATTTTAAGATCTCAGATTAGACTGTTTAAAGTTGCAGTGAAGATTTAGCTACCATGCTGAGTCTTTGGTTTAAATTAAATTGATTCTTAGCCTTAGTATTGGCTGATTGTTCTTAATTTATCATAGGACCTTCATTTAAAAGTTAAACACTGCCCATATAACTTTTCACCAAAATCACCCTTAGCTTTAGGATTTGATTATGCTAAAGTAGACATAAAAGAGAGAGTAAAGAACATCAAATAAATGTGTCTTTTATTAAAGTTTTTTATTTTTTAGACAGACAAACATTTAATACATAAGTTATCTCTTCCCTGTGATATCTCGGTGTTATCTTTCAAAGTTTCTTTCTTCTTCTATATATGTGTTATTTCTTCTATCTTGATCCTTAACCAATCCATAATATCAATTAATCACTAGTATAATATTCTACTCATCACATATTTATACATACTTATATAATTAATCATTTATATCTCTTCTCCAATCAGTGATGAAAATAATTCCATACTTTAAAGTATTCTGAGTCTTCTCTATCCTTAATCATCAAAGTTAATCTATTCATTTCTGCACAATCTAAAAAAAAATTATTACTTCTTCCAAATGTATTTTATCTGCTTTCCAATTTTGTGCATAGACAATCCTTGCAGCTGTTATTACCTGTACTATCAAATAAACATTTTCCTTGCTAATTTTTCCAGTGAGGATACCAGTAGGAACAGCTCTGGTTTAAGTTCAATATGTTGCTGTATCATTTCCTCCAACCAAATCTTAATTTTACTCCAATAATTTTTTGCTTCCGGACATGTCCACCACATATATGATCCTGGTAATTGATGACACTTCCAACATTTTGCTGATTTTTCTTTAAACATTTTTGCTAATTTCTCATGTGGCATATGCCATCTATAAAACATTTTATATTGATTTTCCTTATACGCAATGGACATTGTTAGTTTATAATTCCTTTCCCATAATTGTTGCCATTTTTCCAAGTCTATTGAATATCCGAAATTTCTTCCCCAAGCTATCATTGTTTCTTTTACTTGTTCCTCCTCTAGTTCAATGTTAAGTAAGAAACTGTAAATTTTTTAAATTAAATTGTTGTCTGTTCCTGTGAGTATCCTATCCAATTCAGTCTTTTCCATATAAAAACCATATAATTTAGCATCTTTCTCATATCTTGTTTGTATATGCATATACATATACCAATCTGTCTCAAAACCCTGTTCTTCTAGTTTCTGTTTCCCTTTCAATTCACCCTTATCCGTTAGTAAATCCTTATATCTAACAGTATTTCCAAAATTAAAAACATTTGGATGTATTAAAGCTTCCATAGTCGATAACCATGTTTGTATTTTCACATAATAATTGTTTCTTACTTTCTCCCATACCAATAACAATGCATTTCTTACATAATGTCTTTGAAAATATGTGTGTATCTTATTTCTACCATACCATAGAAAAGCATGCCATCCCAATTGTAGATCATAACCTTCCAAAGTTAACAACCTTGTATTTCTTAGCTCCACCCATTCCTTTAACCATGTCAGTGTTGCTGCCTAATAATATAGTTCCCAATTTGGTAGACCAAATCCACCTCGCAGTCTCGTATCTTGCAGCATTCTTATGCTTATTCTTGCTTTTTTCCCTTGCCAGATAAATTTCCTTATTATCTTATTGAGGTGTTGAAAATAAATCTTTTCAATTTTTATCGGCACAGTCTGGAATAAAAATAATAGTCTTGGTAATATATTCATCTTTATCAGTGCAATCCATCCCATCAGTGATAATTGGAGATTCTT